TTTGGATGAGATTTATAAGCTATTAAAAATATGAATTTGTAATTTTAGCAACTTATAGTACATATGCAATTTGTAATCATAATGACTTATATATGCAATTTAACAATAAAACAATAAAACTAAAGCAATTAGTTGATTTTATATATAATTAAATTGATTGATTTCCTATTTTGGCATTTTTTTATTGCATAATTATAATGTTTCACATTTACAAATTATCATTTAATATTTAATTACACATTTATACAATATGAAAGTTTATATGAATAGGCCGCTCAAAGTGAATTATTAGGGTAACATCAATATTTTGGGCTCGAGCATGAGGGGGAGGAAAAAATTTAAACAAACACACATATATAAACAAAGAATATATAAAATAAGTAGCCCTTTTGGAACATAAGATATTTAGACGGAAAATTTTATATAATATTGATAGATGTACATTTCTAATTTTGGTGGCGATACTAAGTAGGTCATAAATTCAATTCATTGGATATTTATTCTGTAAAAATATAACAAAATTAATAAATTTTGTTTGTATAACAATACGAACATATATTAATATCTAAGCCCATGGGTATCCATGGGTACTTGCGGGCTTTATGGGTCAGGCTAGGGTATCAGATTTTGAGCCCTAGGGTAAAGGGTAAGGGCCTAAAATTGAACCTTTACATAGATGGGTAGGGCTTAAGTATTACTACTACCCAGCCCTACCTGGCCCATGCGGAGGCCTACCTCAGATGCATCCTTGCGTCAGATAACTTCTGACTTGTGTTAGGATTAGGGTTAGGGTAAAAATTATGGTATAATTTAGGTTAATTATTGTTCATTTAATGCTGGTCATCTGATAGTCATCTGAAGTGGATGTTAATCTGAACCTGAGGCACAACATATATATTAAAGGTTTCTTTTAAATATTCTATCAATGCACAAGAATTTTAACATCAGCAAATCATATACAAAAAAATTTAGAATTTCTCGGTAATCATCGAATACCCTTTTCGTTATAATATACTGTCAATGTCAACTTTAAACCAAGATTTGACTCAAACAAATTCCTGACTTTCTTTTCCAAGTATACTTAATGCACAAAGTGATATGTACCATATGTGAACTATTTAACATAGTGATAGATAGAGGTAAGACATTTTTTTTTCAATAATATTTTGTCATTTGATTCTTTGTCTGAAACGGATGACCATTAAGTAAATTGAATGCAAAGTCGTTCAGTTCCCACACACGTGATATCGATCACTAGATGTTCTAGAAAACCAGGTCCTTTTTTCATGTGTAAATTTAACGCCTGAACATATCTCACAATGTAAGTTAGTCAAAATAAGCGATTATCTAACATATTTTTAATTGTGCTAGATATTTACGAAGACCAATCCAGCCTGGTTTCAAGACCAGGGACTGAACAACCATGAGATTGGTTAAAACTTCTGGTCCTTCAATCTTTTCAAGACAGATCCATTCTTATTCGAATTAAAAAAAAACTTTCTTCTACATAGTATAATTTCTTGTAGCCCCTTTAATCGGAAGTATTTATTTATTTATTTATTTTGTATTTTAAAAGGCTTCGATATAATAAATTACGATATATTTTTAAATAATCAAAATTCTTGATCGTGATTGGTAGGGATGGTAAAAAAACGTTTTAAACAGTTTTTTAAACATTTTTTATTGTTTTAAAAATTGTTTTAAAACATCAGAGGCTGACACTGAAATTTAACTGAAACTGAAAATAAAAGTATATAATTTTTTGTAAATTACGAACAATGTATATAAAAAAAATGCGAAGAATTATAGAAAATGTATTCGATTGCAATTTTTTTTTTTGCACTGACAATAAATTACTTTTAAATGACTAGATACAATTTCTTTTCGCATTAGTGCTATATTAGTTGATATTGAAGTCCAAAGTATATATGCATGTACAAATTATATTGAAAAAACCGAATTACTTAAAGATTAGAATCAATTCAATGCAATAAAAATAATTTGTTTCTCCCAAGCTAATTATCATTAGAATTGTCATCATCAAACCAACTATTATCCTTAATTTCTTTCTGGATTCTCAAGGTTTGATAAACGGTTACAAGCCTTTTCACCCGATCATTGTCCAGACGTGCACGATATTTATTGTGAATAAATCCGAAATTTGACCAACAACGTTCCGAGGCAGCTGAGGAAGCCGGCATTGAGAGAACCTTGCAGGCAAGTTCAACAACGGAAGGGAATTTATTTGAAAAATTGGATTTCCACCAACTAGATGAACTCGAATGTTCGACAGATGCCCAAAGCAGTAACCCGGAGAATTCATCAGCCTTAGCGATATATTTTTGAATAACTCCATAAATCTTTAGTATAATTGAGTAAATTAGGATTTTTAATTTTTCTTTTTAAACGTATTTATAATATTGTACTTACATGTGCAGCAATTTCAAATTCATAAACATTTTCAATATACGGGATAATAAATTCCTCAAGATCGTTTGGCCTTAGTGATTTTCCACGAATCCTTAATTTAAATTAATTATACAGCATATTATAAAATTTTTAAATTTATAATAATTAAAAAATAAAAAAAAAACATACTTAGGATCTAAAAGATTTGCAATTGCCATTGCAGGGTGAAATACAAAGTCAAACCGTTTGTCAATTAAGTCCAAAGCCTTTAATTTAAAATCCAATTCTAAATCGCATGGATCAACTGATTGCCGAATTAGTTGCCATTCAGGATGGACATGTGAAAGTAAAGGTTCATCGGATTCGAATAAACGTATAAGCCTAACAAAAGGCATTAAGAAAGAAGCTAATTTTTCTAGTTCTTTCCATAATAAATCACCTAATAATTGATCTCGAAGATTATGCGCAATTTTTTTACCAATTTCGGGTTGTATTATTGCCATTTGAATTCCAAACCTGCATCGAAGTACAGATTTGACTGCATCTAAACAGGTTCCCCAGCGAGTTTCGACAGGTTGAACTAGAGTGATCGTATCTGGTTGATTTAATAAAAGTGATTCTGCTTGACGATGCAATCGAAAAAAATTAATAATTTGCTTTACAGTATTCATTAATTTGTCAACCCATTCAAGTTTAAGTATATCTTTGATTAATAAATTGCCAACATGCGCATTGCAGCCCAAACAAACCAGCCTTGGGTAATCTTTATTTAGTAATTTCCATGTAGCTCACATAGAACTTGCATTATCTGTTACGATGCCGGCAAACTTTGAGGGACCGATGATTTCAATTATTGTTTTAAACTTATGATAAATATATTCCACAGTGTATGACTCAGATCCCGAATATATAGCATCATAAAAAATTGGGTTTGAAAAACAGAGGATAAAGTTTATAACTGATTCTCGCTGGATATTTGACCATCCATCTGATACTAACATAATATTCATTACCTCTTTTAGAATTGAATCTAAATTTTGTCGTTCATTTTGATATTTGGAATCCAGTAGATTATTTGCCAAATTACGTCGATTAGGACTAACATAGAATGGATGTACAGTTTTAACATAATGTTGCACAGCATCTATAAATTCTTCCCAAAAAAGGTTCTCGATAGCCGTAAAAGGAATACCAGCTGAATAAAAAAACCTTGCTAATATACCATCAACATCAGATTTAACTAAGGGCATATCATCAATTGAACCGGAATCTTCACCCTGAATTTGCAACAAAGCTTTTATATCCCTTGGAACCTTTTTACATTTTAATAAATGACCTTTTAACCGGTCAATTAAATCAACACAATCTTCTTCGCAATAATTACACATTTGACGAGGTGTTTTTCGGCCATGTTTATCACTTTCAGTGATTTTTGTAAAGTTCAAACGGATTTCTTTTAAAGGAGGTCTTCCGCGAGACATTGGTAAAAAATTTTTATTGTTGCTTATTATTATTTTTTTTTAATATCAGTAATCGTTAAATACTATACAAATCACATTACGTGATTAGATCATCATTATGATCATGATTATGATCATGATTACGTCAAAATGTTTTAAAACATTTTTTAACAAATTTAAATCAAACAATCATGATTTTTAAGATCGTGTTTTAAAACATTTGCCATCCCTAGTGATTGGTTAAATTTCTCAGGGGATAGAGGATATCAGAAGCTGATTAGTTGACGTATCTTGCTAGGGCAGCCGGCCGGTATGTAGTGTAACCAAATCGGAAACTTTGATTGGATATTGCTAACGGACATTTTGCATGAAATGGCGTAGAAGTAGAGTGTCCTCTGCTACGCTTCGGACAATAAGATTTATCATAATTGCAGGGTCAATAACCGGAAATTAACTGAGTACGGAAAGTTATTTACCCCACTCCGCCTCCATTCGCTCCAACCCGATTGAGTTAGCGGCACAATATCTATAACAACAATAATTAATAATTATTGGGCAGATAAATCATAGTAAGCAACCGATAAAGAGTTGTATTGGTATTACAAATCCGTAATTATAATATCTGTAAACACATGTACAATGTATCGATATCGCATGTCAAGTGCGTAAATTTATAAAAGTTTCACCGTTAAATAAAGTTTGGGCGTTATTAAAACCAAATACAGTATAGCGATAGTTTCAAATAATGTTAATTCTACGATTCCATATTAATTCAATACAATAAGAATTTGTCTATTTTGATATTAAACAAAGTGACAATCTTGCTAATTTCACATAATGTAGTACAGAATTCTTCGGCTAAAAATTAATAAACATAATCGTTTCCATAAGTAGAACCAATCAAGAACGCAGAAGAATCAGCGTTAGGATTGTTTGTCTTGTAATGAACTTTTTTTTTTTTAACATTCCAGCTTAGGGGCTACAATTAGATCTGTACATGTGAAAATTTAGATTGTAGATAGGAACTTAAATTCCCACATTCTGGTATAAAAGATACGAGGCACGCAAACTTTTCTCATTCATTTAAATCTCTCGATTTATTATAACAAAAAAAAAAAAACCACGAAAATCATGGAAAACCCAGTTCAAGACATTCCAAGTATCATAGATCTTATTCTTTGCTCAAGTAATTCACATAAACCACAAGAAGTTGCAAAATATTATTGCGAAAACCTTGAATTTAAAAATTTTATGACATATATTCCCAGTGGACGATGTTCTCGAGATTCTTTTGTTGCATTAAATCAATGTTATAGGGGTAATTAATTTTAATTGTGCGTTTTTGCTTTTTTTACATATATTTATTTTATGTGATATATATTCAGGATATATATGTCCAGGAAAAACGAACGTTCATGAAGTATTTTTTAACGAAGAAAAAAATAAGGTTGTGATTGACGTAACACATCATGCACGTCGTGGAATTTTCTTCTGGGTTGACCAGCCAATAAGGTAAAATAACTCAAGGAACAACATATCTGCTGTAAAAATATTTACGAAATCTACAAAATTTTTCTAAAAAAATGTATAAAATTTTTTTTTCCTTTATTAGACTCATTGTAAAATTAGATTTAACCTTTGGCAATGATGGAAAATATATTATTAAAAGACAAGAGAATTTATGTCAACCGGAGGAAGCTGCTGGTGCTCTAGTGCCTTTGATAGTTCCTAGTTTACTGCTTTTCCAAAAACAAATGTTTACTACGGCTTGTGTTGTCGTTGGAAAGTGGCGTCGGTTGATTGGATGGAAATAGATCTTTTCTCGTTAAACCTGATATATTTCGTAACGGTAATAATTGACATTAATTTTATGTAGTTTAGAAACGTATAATATATTTTACTTGGAATGTTACAGTAGAATAAATGCAGTTTCCGGGTTATTTAATAGTAATATCTTGCAGTTAGTAGTCCTCAAAGGTATTGATTATTAAAATAAAAGTATAATATTCAGAGATTACCCAGAGAGCACATACGCATGTAGCGATTTTATTGATGTGTCAAAACAAATCTCAAAAAAATAAAGTGATTCGCTTCAATCAAAGGGAAAAAAAATCACACATCAGGCTTTTTTTTTACCAATATATGTAATTAGAAAATCGACATAGTAAAGAGAAAATTTTCATATCATTATTACGATTATTCTAATTATCATATGTAGGCCCACCAATATATTCACAATAATAAATATTTAAGTCGTTTAAATGAATGTCGAAATATAAACATAGCATTGAATGTAATTAACGGTACAAGTCGGTTAAAATGGTTAGAAGCCATTTACTAGATTTATTTATAATATAATATAGAACTTATATCGATACCAGAACCTAAAATATATCAGTACAAATTTTTTATCACAAATGATTCTATTGCCTGTGTAAGGGTTAGTATGTATGAATGTCAAAATTTTCTACATTCTTGCAATACCAAAAAATAAAAGCACAGATAAAACTTTAGTTATGCAATACAGACAGCTTTTTAGAAAAAATTTGAGCTACATTTATTTGTTTTAAACCACGCGTTAGCTAATTTTTCTGTGCTATTGATGGCAAATCTCCGATTTTGCCAATTTCCTTGCACATCTCTTGTTTCTCTCATTGCTCCTTATTGTCTTCATTGCTTTACTACAACATCATTATGTACTGAGAAAATAGAGTCGGTGAAGAAAAAAGAGAACCGGCTGCTAAAGCTCTGTCACCACCAATTGATACTGCTTCTTTTGTTTCTATAAGTATTGGATTATTACTTATTGTTGAATCGTTCTCCTGCTTTTCATCAAAGTTATTTTCAATTTCTTTTCCTTTTTCTCTCATTGCCTCATTACCACTTGCTTCACCAATTTTCTCCGTAGGCTGAGCAAGTGAAGACGTTGGAGAAGTAGAACCAGCCACTAAAGTGCCACTGCCAATTGTTGATGCAGCTGCTTTTGTTTCCTCATCACCTGAAGCTTGAAACGTAGGAACGACGGCCTCTTTTGCACTTTCAATAATTGTTGGATTATTAATAATTGTTGAATTATCCTCTTGCTTTTCACCTAGCTTTTTTTGCACTTGATTCTTATTTTCAATTTCTCTAACTTCGTCTTTTGATGTTGCATTTTCCTGCATATTTTTTTTTTTAATTTTTTCTGTAAGAGTCATAAGAATCTCTACAAAATTGTAATGCATTTTTATCTCCAATTAATTAATTCGAATATGATTTATTATAACTTGTATAGTGACAATATATTTCGAAATAATTTATAACATTTTGCATCTAGAGATGGGAATCGAAACTACAAGTTTAGGTTAGAGTTTAAGATATAGTTTAGGGTTTATGTCTCCAACATAAACTTGTAGTTTCGGTTTCCATCTTTACTTACATTGATTAGGGGAATCAATTAATAAAAGTTTGACCAAGAATTTATGGGGTTTTACCGATATTTATTTAATTTTGGAATGATTGTATGATTATGTTAGACATTAATAAATTATAATTTTTATGATATGCTATTTAGTAATTATGAAATAAAAATTACGAAATATTACAAAAATTAATATACATGTGCTCCAAGTTACGTAACATTTATATCAATTATAATAAAATTTATTATTTTTATTATTTTTATTGCATAAAGTATACATTTGCCAACTTAAACACATTAACGTTAACGATTGAGAATCTGTTAATCGGATCATTTACACGTTACGTACCTGGATAACCCGGATTAAAAATATAATTGCGTATGATACTGTATTAGTAATAAGCTGTTAGATATTAAAGGAAACTTCATTTCCGCTTGTATACATACGGATCAAGGTATTTATCAAATACTCCGTATCTTGATATCACGAGCCTAGCAAATCAGTTGCGTACGGAGTTTCAACGATTAATATGACAATTTCTGTATTATTAAACACGTAAGTAATCTTTCTTTTTTCCATATCTAATTATCAAATTTTTATTTGAAGCCAACGCTAATAAAAAGACTGTATTAAACGCCTAGATTCAGGACATGATAATTTTAAAAAGAGTAGGAAATTTTACTATCAAAACACAGTAGATAATAAGTATTTCATATTCATTTGTTCTTATTTTTAATAAGCAGTTTTTTTTATTGAAGGTATATTTATTTATTATAAAAATTTTTATATCCATTAATTAAAAATTCCAATAGTTTGGGTTCAATAAAATTCGAATTATTCTCTTATTATAGAAGCTGAACAAACAAAGTGAGATAATACGTACATTAATATCAATTGATTATTTGAATATGAATTCAAACTATTTCTAAATACTATATAACAATATATTTGAAGCGGAATCAGAAATTGTAGGAAATTATAAAACAAACCCTTTACGAAGTATAATATATATTAATTGTACTTTGTTCACATAGAGGTTATTGGATATACATATAATCTTGAAAAGTCTTTTGATCATAATAAAAAAAAAGTTTACGTTTAAAAAATATTGATTCGAAAAATGTTAAATGATTAGAAGCCTTTCAAAAACATAGAATGAAAGAAATAAAAGTACATTTTATTGCCTAAATAAAGGATCGTGTTGAAAACATTTTTTCATACCAAAATATTAATAGGATAGATAATTATTAACTTGGAATTTCTCTTTATTTGATAAAATTCAGGAATTTCATCAAATCTTTTCTTACTTGGTTATGCATTTGATATTAAATATAGATTACATAACTGATCTTAGTCATACTAAGGTTGTTTCTTGATATAGTGATCGAGATATTTGGAAATATATTTCCTGAAAAATTTCTCAGTCATTTTAAAAGAATAAATTTCTAGCAAGCTTCATAACTTGTGTCTAATTATTTGTTGACTAATCTTGCAAAGCTTAAATATTCAATATAAATCACTTTGTAATATACTACTGCCGGTGCACAAGATTTATTATAAAATCCCTTTTCCAAGTTTAATTAATAACTTCTGAGTAAAAATCAGTATTAAATCTAGTAATTGGCTTGTAACCGTTGATTAAATCTAAATCACAGTTTATGCAATTCGTTCAGTTAGATTTCAATGTTGTCAAATTGATTAAATTTAGTTAGTCGCATTTTTTGAACTAATATGAACAAATTCCGTCAGAAATTATTCTTATATTTACATGTGGTTTCCATTGTCTCTTATTGTTTAATTTATAATTATTAATAATGAATTAGATCTGTGAATAGAAATATTTAACTGACATTTATATTGTTGAGAGTAATACGTATGATTTTTTTAATAAAGTTAGATCCGTCATTAAACACGGGTTAGATTTAAACAGATTTATATTTAATCTTACAGCATATAATCTATAACCATACATATTATGAATCAAGGTATATTAGAAACTATTCTCATGTTTTTATCTTTTAAGATACATATGATCAAAATAATTTGATCGTGTCAAATTAGAAGGATAATTGAAAAAATACTAATTCAAATAATCGAATAATCCAATATATATTAAGTTTGTAATGTACACATTTCATTATGGATTTACTGTATTTCACCTTCAACGATGAATTCTTGCAATGATATTTGTCATAATTTATCATTTAAAAAGCCTTTATGATGATAATATATTTGATAAATAAATGCAAGTTCTTAATTTAATACTAAATACAATAAATTTCATACTAATACAATATTAAATATTGAGAAAATATTTTAATGATACATACTACACTATTTTCTTGATAATACATAAAACTAATTATTTTCTGATAATACATAAAAATAATTCATTTTCTTGATAATGCATAAAACTAATCATTTTTTTCATTTTGAAGCAAATCAATATTATTAATTTTTACAAAGTCAACAGCTTTAGAAAAGTTCCTTAAAGCAGCATCTCTAATATATTCAATACCTTTTGTTTTATCTTTCTCAAAATTGAGTTTTCCATTATAATATGTATTACCTAAGTGCCACATAGCAGCAGAATCGTCACCATTAACTGCCATTTTTAAATATTTAATAAACTCTTCTCTTTTTTCTTCATTCGCATTAAAATCTTCCATATTATCAGCAAGTGAAAGTGCATAACGAACTTGTGCTCTTGTATCACCCTTATCAGCTGCAATTTTGAATAATTTATTAGCTAATTCTTTATTTTTTTCAACCACATATCCTTCTAAATAATAGTATCCTTTCCAATATATTGCAGTTGAATTGTCAAGATCAGCATGTTTGCAAAAACATTCCCAAGCTTTTTGCCTTTTATGCTCTTTATGTGCACGGAGACCTTCTTCAAAAGGAATTACTGGATGAACAGTACGATTTATAGAACTTTCAGATTCTGAATCGGTAGTTTCTTCAACTGCTTCAAAAGTTGAACTATCAATGGAAGTAGAATCATATTTTTTACATAATTTTTCTAATTCTTCAAGCAAAACTTGAAAATTTGGACGATCTATTGGATTTCCTTGCCATGCTAAAATAACGGAATGAAGTGAATAAGTGATACTAAATAATAATCAGGATAATAGCAAAAAAAAACTTATATATATAATTTACCATTTTTGATAATTTTTGTAAAAGCCTTAGGAACATATGATGGTCCATGTTTATGTTCTAAAACTTCCCTATTACCTTTAATCACAAATTCTCTAATAGCTTGTTTGGGACTAATTGTTTCATATGGGACCTTCTGATATGCAAGTTCCCAAAGCAACATACCAAAACTATTAATTTGAAAATGAAAAAAATTGTTTAATTTATTTTTGTATTTTAGGAATCACATTTACATAAATTATTAGGATGTTTAAAGATTACCTAAAAACTTCACATTTATGAGTATATGGATCACCTTTCATTTTTTCTGGAGCCATCCAAGGAAACATTTCAATAGGATTGTCAATATAAGATGTTTCTTGATCCGTTTTACGACAAAGTTCAAACTTTGTTATTTTTGGTTCCAACCTATCAGTTAACTGCACAAAAAAATTGTTAACCAATTTAAAATATTAAAAGTAATAACTTTAATAGCCGTTTTAACAGATTTTTGATATTACCAAAATATTTTCACAGCGAACATCGTGGTGAAGGACACCCACATAACATAGAAAATTTAAACCATAACAGATATCACGCGCAATTTGAAGTTTAGATTTCCATAAAAGTGGTTTTGTTGAATAATAATCTTTTAAATTGCCTTTATCAGCCCAGTCATAAACCAAAACTGTATGACCATCCACTTTAGAAATACCATGAAATTTAATAATATATCTACATCGTTGTAATTCATTTAATATAGCAAGGCGACCTTGCTGTTTATAAGATTGTGGTGAATCATTATTTAAAATTTCAATTGGTTTACAAGCTACATTCAGTGACATATAAACTTTTTTCACCACTTTCCCATGAGATGCACCTATTCTAGGATCAGTGACATCCTTAGGATCAATTTGTGGAGCTTTAAATGTATTCCAGATATTTCTCTTAGAGTCATTATTGAGTACTTCGTTTGCGATAGCAATTTTTTGTACCTGTTCAGCTGTAGTTTCTACGCATTCTAATATTTTTATCAAATACTAAAAAAATATTAAAGTATAAATTTATCATAAGGAGATAATTATAAATTAGGAAGATACAATTAATACCTTAAAGATAAATGAATAAATTACCTGTTGCATTGTATTAAGATCATTCTCTATTTTTTTATCCTCTTCTATTTTATCAATCATTTGATTAGCAATAATCGAAAATTGTAAATCACTCATTGCATCATTAAAATCTTGTCTAAGTTTATCAATAGTTCCTCTAATCTCAGTTGCGTTAAAAAATCTTTTTCTTTGATTCATTTGAGAAATATCTAAAACAAATTTTTTTATAGTACGAACTGTATTACTAAATTTTACAAGAGCATCAAGAAATGATTGATTTTGAAAAGTTTCTATATTAGATTCTTTAGATGTTGTTAATCTTTCAATAATAAATTTAGCAATTCGCATACGTTCTACAAATACTAAACAAATATTTTTATTATATTTAGCATCTTCATAAATTTTAATTATAGCATTTGCTGCACTTAATATGATATCAATATATGGTACAAAAGGTTTAAATATTTCGGTTATTGTTCCAACTCCATTAAAAACCGTTTTTGTTGTATCAATTTTTTCAATAGGATAATCATTTTCATCCATTTGTTTTTCGCCTTGTTTTTGTTCTTCACTTGGTTTTTGATCATTTGTTTCATCAGATTTTTCATCTTTTTTTTGATCCATTAGAAAATTTTTGTAAAGTATATTCAAGTCCAATTATTTTATCTGTGAACAAAAGTTTGTTTTTAGAGTTTAGGGTTCATTTACGGAGTACGTCACATATTATGGGTACACAAAAATGATAAATGGTAAGATGTATTTAATTTGAAAAGTGAGTACGTATCAAACAAAGGGTAGGGCAATTTTTGCTCCGATTAGAATAAATTGTTGGGTACATACGTACGTATACAGTATCGTACTGATCAACCATAGGAAGACTTTCGTATAATTGGCTATTAAATCAATTTAATTTTACATAATTTATACAGTTTAAAGTACTTTTTAGAAAAAAATAAAACTACAAAGAATAAACAAAAAAGAAGCATATAAAAAGTTTGTAGGATTTAACCATTAAAAATAATCAAAATGATTTCTGGTTTTAGATAATAGCAATTTCTTAAAGGTAGATAGTATCCCTAAAACAAGGGATTTTGATTATTTTTAATAGTGGAGTCCTACAATCCTAATAAAACTTTCTATATACTGTACTTCTTTTTTATTTATTCTTCGTAGTTTTATTTTTTTTACAAAATACTTTAAATTAAATTAATTTTTGAACTGCGAAAGTTTCCCTAATTTCCCTAATTTCCGGGTGATGTAATATGATTTTTTCCGGAAGTGTCTTTTCCTAACCGGAACTTAGAAACCACAGTCGGAAGTCGTTGTTATAAATTACGGGAATTTTCCGTCTCATGAAAAATCGAGTCGGAGATTGTCTTACGTAAACGGAAATCTACGGCTTTTTACAATAAGTTTTGTGTTCTGACACCGATACGTGTTTAATTTATACTTTTCGTGAATGTAACGTTTCACTAAAAATTTTTTTACACTTCGTATTTAGTAAAATAGGAGGGTACGGTAGTACTAATATGTATAGACGTATGTAAAAGGCTTAACAAAAATGATATTACAACTGTTTTCATAAAGTTGAGCATCTGGCAAAAGTCACCGCCGAATCAAATCATCAAATATTTGGTTGGTCAATTTTTTGCCAGATGTTCAGAAATTTACGAAACAGCTGTAAAAAATATTGTAAAATAGATTATTATGCAGCTCATGCTGAAATCACAAACTTAACCGAATCGGCCGAAAAATCATTCAGCTAATTTTTATTAGGAGTTCCAGAAATTATGATAACAGCTGTAACCAGGTTGCCTCATATAAATCGATTATCTTGGTTTGCCTAGTTTACCCGGTTAACCTGGCTAATTCGGTTGACCCGAATCAACCGAGCTAACCGAAACACTTTCAGTTAAGCGATTGTACTCGGTTAAGTTCAGGTCGGTTATACGGTTGACGATTTTTAGCTCGGTTCAGATCACTACTTATACCATCTTTATAACGGAACTCAAAATTATATTATCCATTAGAAATACTTCCTTTAGCAGATCCGAATGTTTTCTTTTCTTTCTTATCGTACCTATCTCATTTTTGTAGCATATTCCAAGTGATGATGCCTGACGAAAAATTATTTTGCAATGCAAAATTGGTTTGTAAATGGTTTTTTCGGATAAACTATTGACAATTAACTAAACTGTTGGCAATTGACGAAACTCTTGATGAAATTAATTTAAGAGGTAAATCGCGGTTAAAAAAGGGTATAAAAATTGCAAATTTAATAGTAAAAATTCCCAGAAGTTAATATGGGTTTTCTATAAGGTTGGAATGCAGCTAGCTTACAATGAAAGTTTTTTTTTTTATGCAAAGTAAACCTTCCTTGAGCTTCTAACAAGGATTATAGAACAAGCCATTCCGGTTCTAATAGTGGTATGATTTTTCAAATTGGTTTGGTAGATCGCGAACTATTAGCATTTTCTCCTTTATAACTATATGATTTTTACATAATGCCAGAAACTTTAGGCATTTCAACATTATATGAAAGTAATAGTAATTCTTCGCCGATTTTTCCTATGAAATTTATATAATTCAACTGCGATCTACCACTTAATCAATAAAATATAAAATATGGTTGCCCTTCTTTTAATGAACTTTTTTTAAAACGACTCTAGATATTCTGAATCTTAAGTTTTTTTTCAAAATTATTTTTATTTAATCATAAAGTTTCATGTTAAAATATTTTTCATCAATGTTATCCAGATCTAAATTATCATCTGTTTTTAATTACGTAATAAAAAACTTTTATCATCCCTAGTTTCATCAATGTTATCCAAGATTTAAATTATCATCTGTTTTTAATTACGTAATAAAAAACTTTTATCATCCCTAGTTTCATCGATGCATATAAAAACATAGTAATTTTTTAATTGACAACGAATTTTTCTTACTAAATCATCAGTTCTTATTTAAAAAAAAAGTTGCATCAAAAATTAACAAGTCTTACAAAAATTAATTTTTAGCTTTACTATTATGACGCAAAGAGAAAATGAAAACTTCGATCGTATAAATTTCATATGATCAAAGTCTGATTTTTCCTTTGGCACCACCCAAATAATAATTTTTATTTAAAAATATATATGTATATCATTCTGCAATATTCAACTCATCCAATCCACTATCTGTTAAATAATTATAATTAATAATGAAAAACGGATTTTAATTTCTTTTTAAAAAAGGAGAAAAAATAGTACCTTGATAAACTACAGTAGTATAATTAATAAATTTGCTTTTATAAAATTCAACAGGATAAATTTGTATATTTGTGCTTTTGATATTTTCTAATATTTCAGTTGAATTATTTAATTCAAGTAAAATATTTTCATCATTCTGCCATTCTGTAAGGATTTCACAGATTTCTGTTGCTGATGGCCGGTTTATTGGTTCTCTTTCCCAACACTTCTCCATTAGACTTACATAACATTGTGGTGTGTTCTCAATAACTGTTGGTCGCAAATTGTTACGGCATATGTCTATTTGAAGTTGTATTTCGAAATTTTGATTATATGAAATTGATTTTCCATATAAAATTTCCCACATAATTATTCCAAATGAGTAAATATCTGATTTTGTTGTATATTGATCTCCATTTAAAACTTCCGGTGCTATATACGGTAAAATTCCATAAACACCACGACGTTCTACCTTCATTGCTACGCTTGTTGCCACTGAAAGTCCTAAATCTGCGATATAAGCATTATGTAAATCATTTTGTAAAATATTACCACTATGCAAATCTCGATGAATAATCTCTTGAGAATGAATTAGTTGAAGATCAGAAGCAATATAATGCAATAGAATTAATTTATTTTTCCATTCCATTTGTGCTATAGCGTGAAGATTGTTACGCAAAGAACCCTTAGGTGCATATTCTAAAACGAGGATATAATCTCCGGAAAATTCATCTTTTGATATTCCGTAGCATCTTAAAAATGTTGGATTTTTATTGCCAATATCACAATATGCTTTCAGCTTTCGTATAAAAATAAGTAATTAAATATAAATTATCAAACCATTAAATATTAGCAAATATTGTAAATAAACTTACTTCTTTCACAAATTCTTCAGTATACTCTTTCGAATTATGAAGCAATTTAAGTGCAACAGGCCCTTCAGCATTTCGGTCTTTATCCATCCATCTAGCGAGGTATACAGTCGCAAATCCGCCTTTCCCTATAATGTTAAGAATTTTAAGCTCATTATAAGGAATCCAATACAAGAAATATTTGCTTTCAACTAATATTTCTTTTAAATTATCATCAATATCTAAATTATCATATATTCGTCTGTTTTCTACTAATGAAGTTAAATTATTACCGTCATATTTGAATCATTTGACAAGTAAATATAATCAATAATAATTACATAATTACCTGATATTTGCTTCCGTTCTCTAATGATTTATTTAATTACACTTATTAAAAGGCAAAGTTATAATTTTATTATAGCAATATAAAAATATCTTACCTCTGGTACCATTCATTAGCTTTTTGCAAGTTCCTCGTTACTCCAATTCCATTTCGATAACAATATCCAACCTGATATGCAGCTATAGCATCTCCCATCTCTGCGGATTTTTGAAAATAAATAAATGCCTTATGTTCATCTTTTTCAATTCCATTTCCATTTTGATAACAAAATCCAACATTAAATGTTCCACCAGCGTGCCCCATCTCTGCGGATTTTTGATAATAAATGAATGCCTTATGTTCATCCTTTTCAACTCCAATTCCATTTTGATAGCAACATCCAACATTATATGTTCCACTAGCGTCCCCCATCTCTGCTGATTTTTGATAATAAATGAATGCTTTATGTTCATCCTTTTCAACTCCAATTCCTTCATCATAAAAATATCCAACATTATATGTTCCACTAGCGTCCCCCATCTCTGCGGATTTTTGATAATAAATGAATGCTTTATGTTCATCCTTTTCAACTCCAAATCCATCTCGATAGCAACATCCAACATTATATGTTCCACCAGCGTGCTCCATCTCTGCGGATTTTTGATAATAAATGAATGCTTTATGTTCATCTTTTTCAACTCCAAATCCATCTCGATAGCAACATCCAACATTATATGTTCCACTAGCGTTCCCTATCTCTGCAGATTTTTGATAATAAATGAATGCTTTATGTTCATCCTTTTCAACTCCAACTCCATCTTTATAGCAGTTACCAAGTGCAAATGTTCCAATAGCGTCCCCCATCTCTGCGGATTTTTGATAATATATGAATGCTTTATGTTCATCCTTTTCAACTCCAATTCCATTTTCATAACAGTTGCCAAGTGCAAATATTCCACTAGTGTCCCCCATTTCCGCGACTTTTTGATAATAAATGAATGCTTTATGTTCATCCTTTTCAACTCCAATTCCATTTTCATAACAGTTGCCAAGTGCAAATATTCCACTAGT